TTTTTTTCCATTTCCATTCAACGCCTATGTTTACCATAAAAGTGCACAATGATTTATCTGGCTACAACAATGCTACTGCTGATCACACTTGGAAGCACAAAGGGGCTACAACGGCTACAATTGCAATACTGCTGTTGCCGTTGCTGCTCCTGGCTGGTCCTAGTCCCCGTTCCGATATAAGTCCTAGTTTTTCTGCTCAATGGTATACTGATCAATAAGTAAGAAGTAATATTCTTCAAGATTATGTTTATTAGCGCATTAGCAGACTTAAAGAAAAACTGAAGAAAAGAAAAAAAACTACTGAAATTGAACTGTTTATACTGATGACTTTCTGTTGCTGTAATTGTCAACCCAAACTACATACCTTCTTGTGCTAACACTAAGCAACATCCAAGCAAGCAGTCAGCCAGTCAGCCAGTCAATCAGTCAGTCAGTCAGTCAGTCAGTCAGTCAGTCAGTCAGCAATCATCAGTCAGTTAGTCCGTCATTCAGTCAGTGAAACCGTTGAGTACGCGTAGCGCTTATGGCCGAGTGCGCCTTAACTGCGCTGGTGTGAACAGCAAAGCACCACCTATCAGCTGACCGCACCGCTTCGGCGTTATTCTGTTGCTTCCGTCTTGCAGCAGTCGTCCTAGGTTGTAGTTCCGGTAATAAAGGGTGCAGGTAACGATGCTGTTGGTCCCGTAGTTTTTGTTTTTTAACTGATGTTGTTTCTTTTTGGCGTATCCAACAGTGTTGTTTGATGTTAGCTTATATAATCGAGTCAAAAAGCAACAGCAGTAATAACACGGCAATCGCATCAGTAGAAGTATCAGAATTTCTTCCGTTATACATAATGCTGTTATTGCATGACGATTATCATAAATTATTTTTGACTCTTCATTGCTCTATTCATAGACCAAATTTTTTAAAATTTTTTTCTTTATTTTTTCTTTACTAATATATTTTTTTTCGCTCATAGTTTTTTTATTTTTATTTTTTGCTCTCGTCGTCGCTTTTAATTTTTGATATTTAGAATATGTTTAAGCTGTTAGAGATTATTGCAAATGACAAAATTTTTTGATCATTTAAGTTTCTCTTTCATTCAATAACTGACAAATTATTTGTTATGTTTAGCGCGTTGCGTGACTGAACTTTGATAATTGTTTTTTTAGTTTTTTTCCCAGTCCATTTTGATGGAAAAGAAAGATCTGTGATTATTAGTTTATCCGTAGGATCAATAAGGGTTACCAAATTCGATCTTCCGGGTACTTCTTCGTTTTAGTTCTTATTTTAATCCAATTCTTTCGGTAAACCGCATCTGTTCATTGCAGTAATGGGGCGGGAAGAAGGTGACCGTTTTTTGTGTAACAAGAAACGATTGTTTTCTTTTTTTTTTCCTTTCCTTTTTTGTCAGAAAACTTCTGAATTTGTACGCCGTATTTGTGCGTTTTGTTGTTTTTTTTTTCTTGTTGTTGAGTGTACAACACAGTTACTCAGAAATCAGCAGATTTTCAGCGTCCAAATGGGACTGACAGCAAGTAAGGGTCGAGACAATGACGACCTCATTGATAAACTCATTCAGCAGCGTTTGATAAAAACCGAGAACGTGGAGAAGGCGATGAGGTAGTTAATATATTATCCTTTTCCTTCTAGATTTTTTACTGTGAAAACGTACTTTTTTTTGGTGTTACGTTCATTCTTTAAGTTACCACTGCTTTCTATGTGAGAGTTCCGGAGTTGTTGCTCAAGGATGGTGTTGGCAGTATAGTTTGTTTTTGTCTTATCTAAACTTCTGTCACTCTTTCTACCGGAATGACGGAAATTAGTTGAATGTTGCATTCAAGACTCTGAGTATGTCACTAATCCTGAGCAGGCTTCAGATTGGTTGATCGAGGTCGTTTTTTCTTACCGGGTGATATTGAGATGGCTTATAAGGATATTGCGTGGAGGACTGAGTTGGAAGGTCCAGTAAAACTACATTTATCAGCACCGTGTATTTATGCTAATGCTTTGGAGTACTTGGAGCTGAAAGAAGGGAATTCTTTTTTAAATATTGGTTCTGGAACCGGGTTTTTTAACACTATTGTTGGTTATCTCATTGGTAAGCAGAAAGAACTGTGTTTCAACGTTTTATTTCTGTTAATATTTTTTCTTATAGTTTAAAGTTCAGAACGATTCACAAGTTAGCCTTTTTCCCGATTAACTAGCGATGGGAAAAGAAAATTTTCGAAATGATTCAGTGTTTCTTAAGCCTTCTAATCGCCAAAAGGCAGTTAGACAGATTTCAGAAAACAGAGTTCACAAGTGGTTTTTGAGATGAAAAATTTACGACAACTAACTTAAATTGAGTCGGAAGGGGTTTTAGCTTCGAAAGGAAAAATGAAAAGTGCTATTCAGCATTGCATTTTCACTGTAGTTAGCAAAAGGTAGGAGATTTGCGAAGGAGGTCCTGAATTATTTGTTAGGTTTGCAAATGTTTTGTTTTTCTGTGATTCACTCATCTTGTACTGTAAGAGGAGGATTCTTTAAGTTCTGGGCTTCATCGTTGCTGTTTTTGTTCTTGAAAAGTTCACATGGTCTACAATATGGCGCTAGTATTCATTTCCAGGCAGTACGGGTATTAATCACGGAATTGAAATTCATGAGAGCCTCTGTGATTACGCTCGTAAGAAAGTGGAGGACACAGTAAAACGTGCTGAAACTCAGTGTTTTGACTGGGCTCCACCAGAATTTTCTTGTGGTAATGGTTTAGCTCTAAGCCCTTCCCACTATGGACAGTATGATCGTGTTTATTGCGGTGCGTCTGTACCTGATGATAAACATATGCGGACCCTTTGGGAACTTTTGAAAGTTGGTGGCGTGTTGGTGATGCCTTATGACAATCAGGTGTGTCTGTAGCTATCTTTGGTTTCTTTATTAGTTTTGAAAACTTGCTTTTTAAGAGTGAAAATAATCCTTAGCGGTCCTTTGCACTTTACAGTGCGTTCAGTTTTGAAAAAGCCAGCATTAGTTCATGTACAACTTTTTTGAGATTTAGAAGTTCAGTGCAGTCAGAACTCAAAATCTGAATTATATTTTGGTTTAGCTAGCCTTCTGTTGTCATAGCTTCTTTTTAATCTCAATCTTGTTAAGTTGTTTCGATTAATTTGGTAGCCTGTTTCTTGTTTTTGATACAGCCTGTTTGCGTATATTATGTTAAAATAAAAGCGTGATGAGTTTTTAAAAAACAATTTTTTGGTAAGCTTTAAGGAGCTACTTTTTTAAGTGCAATTGTACAGCGCTTTTTTTCTTTACAGTGCTGGATTCCTCATTTTAACATTTATTGTTAACTATTTTTCTTATTCAGAAAGATCTCAGATAAAACGAGGTGGCAGTAAAATAGACCGGGAATTACAAATTTGACAATGTATTTTTTTAAAAAAGATGTGTATTAACAAAAAAAATTTGCGGAAACCTTAATAAATGAAGCTTTGGAAAGTTTACAAGTTGAAATGATTCTGTGGTTTAACAAAGCTTCTTTTTCAGCAGATTTGTCAATGTGTTTTTCTATCGAGGATACAGTAACTGTTCTTTCCTTTAGCTGCAGCAAGTACGCCGTTGTGACGATGGTAACTTTGAAAAAGAGATAATAACGTCCGTATCATTTTCCGATTTTATTTTGCCTGGTGACGACGATCGTTTGGAGTCTTTCGCACCACAAATGTGCCGTATTTTTAGTTTACAACGCCTTTGCTGTATGGTTATTCGTAAAACTGTAAGAGAAGCAATGTCTGACGAATTCCCAGTCTACATTCGTTCTATCGTAAGTTTCCTATCAGCTTTAAAGTGGTTCCAAAATTTTATTGAAACATGATAATTTCTGCGGTTGGGAATTTAGTGGTTCGTCTTGAACTGAAGTTGCTTTCAAGTTCTGCTGCGAAATCGTCGTCAGCAGCAAAGCCTTTTTTAACAAGTCTACATAAACATTTTGCAGGCAGGCACAGCTACTCCCGGTGGAGATAATGTAGGGATTATGGACGTAAGAGGAGGAGTCCTTCGCCAGCGCCATATTACTTGGGTTGATCGTTTTGGAGAAATCGTTTTGCACGCAGTACGTGTGGGAAGGTGCACATTTTTAAGAAACCTTTGTCAAAGATGTAATTCAACTAAACGTGTTTGTTTCATGAAAGGACCTTCGATGATCTATCTTTTTGGCAAAGTAATTCCATTTGCAGAGAACGGCGCCGAAATAGACGAGTAGGTGCGGAACAAAGTACGAACAGGGAGGAGGAAGATTTGGGAGAAATTTTGGAATCTGAGGCGGCCGCAAGGGATGATCAGCCTAGTTTGGTTGTTTTGGAGGCGTCGCTGCCTGAACCAAGTGAACCTCCATTTGAAATTGATGTGTAAGTTTAAAAAAAGCAGAATTCAAAAATTTATCTTTTATCTATTAAAACATTCTTTAGTTTGATTTACACATGGCCAATTTAATCTTATGCAACCCCTAGATTTTTTCCAGTAACGGTTCGTCTGACACAGGGAGCCCTAATTTGCCGTCGACGCATCAAGATGAAACTAAAATTGACCCCTTACTTCTTCTAAGTGGTAGGAATGGAAAACGTTCTAGGTTTGTTTAGCTGTGTTGACTGTAGTTCTGGTAGAAAATTTCCCTATATGACTAGCTGTTATTGAGAAAAGTAGTATCTTTGTCTTTATTCTCTCAAAATCTTTAATATTCTTTAAATCTTGTGTTTAGAAGAGGTGTGGATGGCGAGGAGAGTGAGGCTAAACGGTGGAACGGAGCAAACACTGGAAAAACTAATTGCAGCGATTTGGAAAGGAGTGGTCAGCAGGCCAATTTTCCTTGCAGTGAAGGGAAAGTCGTGCGCGAGCAACAGACGAACAGTAGCAGAACTGATGAAAAACCGGGTAAAAGAAAACTAGGTTTTTCAAGAACAGTTAGTATTGTCGAGATGAGTAGTTTGTGAAGTGCTGTAAGAGCATTTATTTGTATGAGTTGTAGGTGATGAATTAGCTGCTGCACCTGAGGAAGTGATAGCAGAAGATATTTCCACTGTCGTTTTTAATGACAGTGGGAGTGAAAATGTTAATTCCACAAGATACTCGGATTCAGAAGAGGAGGGTTGGTCATCTGAAGAAGAAACGCTTGTTTCAGAAGCTGAAGATGGTCACAATGACCTCTCTGATACTGAGCAATCAGAAAGAGATGAGGTATGTTATGTGCTAACAGAAGTCTTACCAGGTTTAAGTTTTAGATTTAAAGGTTTATTCTTTCAAAGCGTCGTTCAGGAAGCGGAGCGCAGGGAAGAAGGAAAAGAAGCAGCTCGATTAGAAGACCGTAAGAAACAGCAAGATGATATCCAGAACTTCGCCACAGAGTTTGAGAGGCGGATCGGTCTTCTCCCAATTAGCAAACCATTAGTGGAAATGGTCAAATATTTTTCCAGAACTTACTAAAGATTTTGTAGAATTCTAGTCGACGTTGTACATATCTTGTAGTCGATGGATCTACTCAGAGATACTAATGTGCCAAAAATAAGGGTCTCAACAAATACAAGAAAAGCGGGCTATAATTTGCAATATTTTAATTACTTGGACAAGTCGTCTGTATTTTCGTCACTTACAAGTGGGCTTGTTCCTGTTTCCTTTTTTTGCTTTACTTCCAATTAATGGTCATGGATTAAAATATATAGCGGAGGCGCTTCCATTACTTTCTTTGTTGTAGTGGTCGTGTAGTCTGTTTTGCAAGCGCTTCCTACCTGATCATTTCTCATGTAAGCTTTGGTTGTCTGTTACGTTGAACTAATTGTTCATGTGGTCGCGGCTCAAAATTTGTATCTTTTATCTTGGTGTCCTATTTTTTTTCAAAATATTCAACAAAGAATTTGCATTCTGACACAGAATGAATCGCACTGTAAATTGAGTGTAAAGATAACTTCATCAGTATTTTATACAATAAGAGATATCACAGCTAAATCCGAATTTGTTTAAATATAATTAGGGACTTCTTGCCCTGTGAGCAAACGGAACATTGAAGTGGGCATTGTTTTCATATGGATTTCTCCTATTGCTGTTGCCAGCATCTTCACAATCTTGTCGTGAGGTACTGCAACAACACTTTGGCCATTGATTTCGATGATGCGATGTCCAACTCTAATACCACCTCGTTCGGCAATACCACCCCGAAGTAGACTGCAGATCTGTAATAAAGGTTGAAGCATAGTGGTTTTTTGCGAGAGAAGTAGCAATACCAAATAGCCCAGAGTGAGAAAACACAAAAATCAATGCCATTACTGATCTAAACAGCAGAAGGAGTAGCGAATGGTCATCGGCAAAAAACCCCATCTTTTCTAATGCTCAAATACCACTTCAGTAACGGATCTCAAAGAGTTTACAGATTAGGCCTGTTCTTCCTCACCGCTTTTCTCCTCAAAACTAATTCCAACAAACTTGGGCCATTTTGAAATGTTGCTTGCAGAGAATCTAAGGGCCACTGGCTCTACAGTTTCTCAAACGTTTGTAACCTAATAGTTTTTTTCTACCTGGGCAATACGCGAAATACCAACTACACCCCTGAGTATCATTCGCATAATAGGCTTATGGCCGTCCTACTTTTCTGCTCCCGTTCAAGATCATGTGGGTATGCACAAATATTATCTGACCCTTCCTCCAATAACGAACGCTACTCGTCCTCCTCCGTCTTTGGTAAACAACAGGAATGAATGAAAGGAAACAAACCACTCCGTTTTGTACACTAAATCCCAGCTGATACTTTGTATCCGGGCGTTTTATTCGAACTTCAACAACAGGTGGTGTCGAAACCACAGTTAGCTTTACTGCAGTAGAACTACGAGCACCCTTAAATAAATCACTTTTATACGTTGTTTAGTACGAGCTACATTTGCTTTTATTAATCACCTTAATTGTTCGCTGAGCGGATGCGAGAGGAAGGCCGACCAGTGAGATCCCATTAATAGCAATTATCTGTAAAAAAGTACGGGAGGAGTGCAAGGTTTAAGTTGAAATTTAAACAGTGAAAGAACCAACCTGGTCCCCTATGTTCAACTGATTGCATCTTGAAGCCGCTCCGCCGGGCTGCAAATTTGCGATAACAACGGTGGGCAGCATAGACCCCCACCCGGACTCCACAACAACAACACCTAAGGGTTCTCCTGCCTTTTTCGGGACAACTACGTCTTTTTGAGTTTCCTTCCGTGAAAACATTTCCAGTTCTTCTCCTAGCAACTCTTGAGAATTCAAAACTTCCTGTAATTTCAATAATGATTTACATAATGAAGAATAAACATTGTCTTCCTAAAAGAATCGTAATGCCTTTTTGCACCCTCAGGATGTTTCAAATCAATGTGCTCGTCTAAATATGCGCCATGCTGGTTAAAAATTTATAATTTTCTTGATAAAAAAAATTTTTGATCAAGGTAGAATCAAACAGTATCTTGCATGAGCATGATATTTCACCAAAACTAAGACTCCTAAAAGTAAAACAGCTACTTGGTAATCAATTTCACGCAGATATGATGGGTCGTCGATCCCGTTGGCACGCAGAAATTCAACATATGCAACTTGAAATGCTTGGCCAATTGACTGAGCAATAAAAGAAGCTTCCTCTGATTCAAAGACATGACAGATTACCTTAGGAGTACGCTGGACAGAATCCAAGCTACAATGTTTTAAAGTTACAGAACCCTGTTTCGTCCAGAAGTACGCTTAGTAAACAACTGAGGTTATTCTAGGATGTTGAAGTCACAGAATGTCAAAATACTTCAAATTTAGCAAAGCTTAAACAAGCAAAATGACAGATTCTGCCTTCAAATAAATGAAAAGAATTTTACTCTTCAGAATTGCAATCTTCTTCGCTAGCCGACTGAGATATGCGACGTGCCATTAAAACAACCAAATCGCCAATATCAGCAATATAAGATATAGTCCTTAAGGCATGGTCCATTAAGATATCCTAAACAACTAAGTTCTGAATACGCTTATGACTAAAAGTGTCACCACCATACCAACAACACAAAGTTAATTGACACCGATGCAGACTATTAAAATCAAAAGAATTAGCAGTGCTGTGAAAGCTATCCACAACGAATTCAGTCAGAACTTCCATCCTTAGCAAAAAAAGATAAATCAAAAAAGAGGTCCCCACACCTGATTTGTAAATCACTTTTCTAACCAATCTTTTAAAACAGCTGCAATAGAAAAAAAAAACGAACGCTAGATAATACTTTACAAGGTGCAACAAAACAAATAAACCAAAATCTAAGAGGTGTTGTTAAGATATATAAAGCACTTAATGTTTCCAAATTCAAATTTTCAAAGCAATTCAGAAGAAGCAGAGAGCGAGCTTTAACATCACACAACACTATTTTTCTAAAACATACCTGTCGTACATCTGTTTCTGATATGCGCTGAAAGTATCGACAGTGGGATAAAATGATTACATAATTTAAAGAAACTTAAACTAAACTCAGTGCTGCACGGTTTCACGTCACCACATAAAAATAACACTAAATAGTTAGGTGGTCGGAGAGACGGTCAAAGAGTTAGAGTTTTGATAAAAGGTAAAAAATTGTCAAACCTGTAGATCTGTGTTTAGGACCATAATTTTCTCAGTGGATATGAATAAGTCGATGTCAGTACTAGGCTGCATTTCTCCATCTGGAGCCTACATAAACTAAGGTTTCCGGTAATTAACAGTGACTTGAAACTACATGACCAGTGTGAAAATATAGTTAAATGAAATAAGAGCCACCTTTACGCGAGCTACAGCTTCTTGTGCTTGCAACATACGGCTGGTTTTTGTAGGCCGACCTTCACAAATTAACTGTGTCGAACCAAGATATCTAGCACGGAAAAGAACACCTTCAATCAGCACTGCAGGTTCGTGTACTATAACTGAAATAAAAAAATGTTTAAAAATTAAAAGTGCAAGTTTTTATTATTTCAACGAAGACACAAGGGATGACAATTTAAAACAGTAGTAGAATTAAGTGAACAATAAATACTATCACAGAATTTCTGAAACACAGTAATCTCTAAAAATAGTGATTTTTCTTGCACTGACCTTCCTTTTTAGGATTCTTTTTTGAAGAGGCTTCATCTGCAGCTCTTTCATTTTTAGAAAGTAGATGATCCGTTTCGTCCTCTATTTCTTCGGGAACACTGTCTGTATCTTGAATGAAATGATCTTAGCAGATAATTATTAATTAACTATAACAAACTGCCAATAAAAAATAAAATAGTCTCATACTTTCGGAAGCTCTTTGAAGCTCAGTTTCATCATGGTTCCGATCCTCTTCTCGTTGGATACGTTTCAAATAAGATTCCCTAGAAAACTGACAAATACTCTGAAGTCTAAAAAGTAAACTCGAAAAATCCAGATTCATAGTTACCTCATGACCCAAACCGGTGTTGTGCTTTCTCCATTTTCTGCCGGCTGCTGCACCTGGTCATTATCTGACAGCTTAACTTTTGGTTGCTCAGAATTTGTTTTATGTCGTGCATCAATTTCATGCCAGCTATCACTTTCGACCCAAGGCTGCTCTCCTTGATTCTATAAACTCGCAAAATCCAAAAGATTGAAGAGTTCATAAACGTGGAGCGGAAAAGCATCACTTGACACTTTTATAATCATTCAGCTTTGATCGAAGCCAAGGCTAAAGCTACTCACCTGCTTAGTTGATGAAGTACTAAATTCTTTTTTGTTATTAATTTGCTCTGAGTTGTTCTCATTATCAGATTCACTAACAGTTTGTTGGTTATTTTGTAACTGCTGCAGAAAAGCAGCAACCATCTAAAACAAAAAATAATTAGACAAATCATGGCCAAGACGCAAAAGAGTAGGAGTATTAAAAAGACCAAAAATATTCACCTGTTGCTGAGTACCTGAGAAGAAGGGAGATGGAAATGGGAATGGTGGGGGGAATGTTGGCACGGTACCTGGTGGAAATGTTGGCATCGTTTGAGCCAACTGCGACACGGTAGCAGCAAGAGGGAACGGGGCGTTTTGTGGGAACTGTTGCACGGGGTTAATTTGTGGTCCTGGTGGAAATGGGTAAAGAGACGACTGCAAAAAGTTATTCTGAGGCACAAACTGATTTGACGATGCTGTTGCCGGAGGTTGAGAGAGCCCAAAAGAATCTTTTAGCTGGTCCAGTGACTGTGGTGGCGGGTGCTTTTCACTATCACATCCCGTGTTGGATCCGAAAGGAATGGCCGACTGAAAGACCAATTTATGAACAACTGAGATATGATTGAAAAAATTCACCGAGACAGGCAAGATCTTCGTAAGAATTACGACAAAGTGATCCAAGGAAACTGCAAGTCTCATCGTTACGAGAAGTGTAAATAAAAAACGAGCAATGTCAATATGCTTTCTCATTTAATTTTTCTTCAAGCACTTTTTTCACGCCACAACACAACACAACACAACGTAACAGGAACTTCACATTTACGATAACCTGATTAAAAGAAGATATAGGTTGTTCAGAAGAAGAGCTAGCTAGACAATCACTGGCATTGTTTAAAAGTTGTGCTACTTCTTCTTCATTGATCTGAAACTACTTAATTCTTTTCTAAACTAGTCTACATGAAATACTTATCAGTAAAACTCATTCCATTCCTTGACACTTAAATATACCTCCTTAATTCATTGAAAA